GCAGTGCTGGAGCAGCTGTGTGGGCTCTGCTGCCTGGCATGTCCCGGCCGCCTGGCCTGGCAAGGGCCTGGCGCGCACGAGGGCCGGGCTGGGGATGGCTGGGAGCAGAAGGCGGTGCGCCGCAGCCTGCGTTAGTCCCAGCTGTTTTAAAAACAAGATGCTTCACTGTTGCATCCGACCAGCTCGGATCCGACAGTCCTCCAAGCCATCCAGCTTCCTGTATGCTGATAGTCCTTTACTACACAGGAAGAGCAATGGTAATAAAGTGTTCACGATAAGACGGCCCTGACGCACTTCAAGCAGATGCGTGCGCACCAAAGACCTCTGAAAAAATAGGAAGCTGATTCTAGATAGCTGGCAACCTGATTTTTTTCTTTTTTTTAAAGGAAAATTTATAGTAATTACTCTTAGATATCAACCCATGCTTGATGTTTCTTTCATGTTTGCTCTATCTTCTGGAGGACTGCATGGTACTGCAAAAGTAACCAGACTTTCTTTGTTCTTTATAGAACCATGCCTAATCACTGTGATGCACCTTATGAAAATAGTGGAAGAGGAGGACTGTTTGTGCAGCATGAACAGCTGGGACCATGACTTAACTTGTATCTGAATGCAAGTGACTATACGTATTTATATATATATATACTAACCACAATATGTCTCTGGCTGTATCGCAAGTGATATTGTTTAGGTTTTTAGGATCACCTGTATCCTGTTTTTTCCTCTGTACGCTAAACTGTGCCTTAAGGTAATGTAAGACAATGTGACTGTGCTTTTGCAATTCGTGCCCAGAGATTTGTTAAGCGTAAATGAAAATATGCACTATTTGAATAAAATCAACTGAAAAGACAGACTGTAGAGCGCCTGAAAAGTAAAAACCAGCTCTTGCATAGACTGAAGTTGCAACTCGGACCCCTTTTCTCTGTAGACCAAAGTGACCCTGTACTGCTTGATCTTCAAGCAGTTAATCATGAGATTTTGATGCTGCCACTTTGGTTTTCTATTTTACCTCTCTCTTTTTACAGCAGAACATATGAGGTTCCTGTGCTTGAGCAGGCACCGTGCCTTTTGAAACATGCCAGCATCTAACAATAGTAGCCCACTGTCCACAAAGATCTTACTGATTTAGATGAAGTAAGTTCTGATTTCCCTGCTATAAACAGTGAACAAATGAGCTTATGACAAGAGCTGCCTTCTGTAAACTGACAGGCTGTAAGTACCATACCTCTTCCATGTATGTCATAGATGACTATAAGTAGACAGTGGTAGGCTTCAACTTCCAGCTGCCCTTTCAAAGTTGATAGGGTTGTCATTACAATGACAGAGATATTTCTTTATTCAACATTGCTTTGAAGTCTCCTATCTTACATTCTAGGGAAAAGAAAAAGCTTACTCCAGCTCCTCACTTAGCCTTCTTTTACCTCGTAAAGCTTTGGGGAAGACTGTCCTCAGCTATGGATAAAGGCAGGTCAGTTGGTTGTCTTCAATATTTTTTCTCTCCTGTGACTATTGCTCTCCAGCTCTGAGAAGGACAATTCATATGGCTTTCAGGAATAAATACCAAACATAACTGGATGTCAGAGACTTTGAAGCAGTAGGGTGTTTCAATTTCCTCTAACACATTACATGAAAAAAGGCTGTTACTAAGTTAAAGAGGATTCAGGATGCAAAAGCGGGCACACTTTGTTACAGAGAGCTTCCATTCTTTCCTTTTATTTTTCTTTCATTGTTAAAAAGAAAAGCGCTGTTTATTGAAGAGTTTTGTCTTTATGCATCAGACCTGTATGTTTGGAAATAAGTGTAGGCCTCTTCTGCTAGTATTCAGGATCAGGACTGCTGGCTCCTATGAAAAGACTTAGGAACACGGATGAAACCACTGATGCATAGCGTTAAAAAAGCTGAGCTGTGATTGATTACATTTTTCAAAAGGAGTCATTAAAAAAGAAGCAAGTACAAGACTGTTTATATTTCTGACTGCTGTCACTCTTACATAGTTCTGTTCCCCTCCTCCCCCCAACAAAAGTTGTAAAGGAGACAGCTAAGATTACATCTTAACTGAATAGCCTTTGGAAAGCTAAAAGACATTTCTCCAGAGAAAACTGAAGCTCGTTCAAGCAGGTCTGACACAGAAGGTTTTACATACCTCAGAAAATTTGAAGCTAACAAAAGCCAGACTTTTGAGACATTGAGCTCAAGCTGTTTCATGTACTCTTGGAGCACCTGAACGTGTAATCCAGGCAAATTTCAGTTATCTATTGGAACAAAGCTGGTAAGTCAGAAAGACAACCAGGATAACTACTCAAGCAGTTATCACCACATCTGGGTGGTGATCAGGGTATTGAAATTGCTTTTTGCATTTCATAGCTATTCAGAAAGCTAAAATAACTTTATTAGTTTTGTAAGCAAATACTTCAGAAAATGAATTTTACTGTTCAAATAAGATAACTCAGCCACCATCTCTTCAAAACTTTCCACCATTACTAGCAGTACTATCTGTTAGTGTGTCAAAACATAATTCTAGAAATCCAGAATTGTTTAGAAAAATGGAAGAGTACAAAGCACAAAAGACGCAGTTGAAACTTTATCTGATCGTTTGAACAAGAAGAACTTTGCAAGAAAATAATTCTAAAGACTGAAAAATATATTAATTACAAGACTTGTTAAATGTATTTACTGTTACAAAACTGTCTAGGCTCTTATACAAATCTATAGCAAGAAGGGGACATTTATAAAAAAATAAATAGGCACCCTAGGTAAGTCAAAACAAATTATCACATATTAGTTAGCAAATATTACATACATACATGGAGTGTAGAGTCAAATACAAAAACAAAGGTGTCTCAGTTAGCTGTCTATATACTATTATAATTAAATACCTGGTAAACACAGGTCATGTAAAAAGTCATCTAACAGTATTTGTTTCAAGCAAAGCAAGGAGACTAAAGTACATCTGAATTACTGCAGCTGCTTTAAAAAAAAATCAGTAAGTTTACTAGTTGTGCTTAGTGGAAACCAAATTCATTGGTATCAGTAGGCATTCCTATTGCTCACTGTACAGAAGTATTAACATTGCTAGGTGTGTTTAAAAATAACTGGTCTAACATCATTCACAGTTGTTGCTGTGCTGTTTATACATAAAAATACTGTCATTTCAAATACAGGATTTTTGCAAACATTTTACAAATTATACATTATTTACAAATTGCAATACTAATCTTCATTTTTACACAAGTATTAGAAGATAGCTTTACCTAACTGGCTATGTATGTTATGTAATATTGCTGAGGATAAACTAGAAAAGTTTTTTGTTTTTTTTTTAAAACAAGTTTTCAAATCTCTTCCAAAAATATTTAGGAATCTTCCAAATTCTTACATATTCAAGATTCTTTGTCTCTATTCAACTGAGTTGCTTACAAAAGGATAATTTTCTTAAGTTGTCATTTACTAGCAAACATACCTAAACATGCAGAATTATTTGCATTACAAATTCCAGAATTCATTTTTTGCTACAAGAAATTTTGAGCAAGAAGGTAGAAATTAGTGGATTAATCTGAGATACCTGGTTTGTTGCATATATCATGTTCCAGTTTTGCTATAAGTTACAAGTAGTTAAAAAAAATTCATCTTAACAGAGAGTAACCAAAACTACTGTTTAAATTTATACTTGGATAATCACACTAAAACAGTTGTCAACATTTAGTTGAAGCACTAGAACTCTCTTAAGTTACATAAACATATGAAAGCCTTTCTGAGTAAGTTCAGTGTAAGCATAAGCAAGAGTGTTTATCATGTATATTTAACCTCCTTGCATTAGTTTCATAACTGAAAGGCATTTATGTATAGATGTAATCATCCCCACCCCAATTTATTAATATGAATAATTGCAAAATTCAGCCTTTTCAGACAGTGTCAGGGTTTGCTGACATTACTTCTGAAGTGTACATTGTTCAGCGTTACGATAGACTGGAACAGAATTCTAAGCCTGTCTATGTCTCTGATACCACAAGACACAGTGGGTCATTTCAAACACTCACAGCTGCCACAAGGGTGAAATCCTGTTCCCCTTTTTCTCTTCCCCTGCCCCCCCCCCCTTTCTGTGAACTGACTGAACTTAATCACATAAAATCTTCTGCCTTGTTAGTGAAATAAATCAGGTTTGCAAAAGGCGTGGTAAACGCCTGAGCTGCCAAAATCGCAGGGCGGAACGCTAGAGCAGAGAAAGAGAGGAACCTCTGCTTCCCATGCCACCTTAGACACTGCAGTCTGAACGGCTGCGGGTTCAGCCTGATCCAGTAAGATACTATTTACCATTTGTAGAACTGCTCTGAAGAGGAAAAAATTTTATGTCAGTAAAATCAAAATGTCTGATCCCTTAAACTTAGCTTAAGATGTCAAGCTGAAAAAAGATACGAAGTTTAATAAATAGCAACATTGACTTTACATGCAACTATAGAATCAGTCTGAACTGAACATGAATAGTAACTATATACCTAAGGCCTTACAAAATGTGTCTTTGACAGTTGCATGATACTTCCATATTTTAAAATTATATCCTATTCTGCCACATCAATTTGTAGTTTATGTGGTTAAACTGAATTTTAGTAAGTTGAAGTAGGTATCTTCTAGGGAGAACAAATCTGATAAATGTATTAGCTTAAAAATGTATACAAACACAGAGCAGGTGTATTAATAGGACAATCTACTACTGTGGTTTATCTGAATTACCTTTAAAATCTTACCTAACACTTGCAAACCAGAACAATTCTAAAAGAATTATTAGTAAGGCTTTTTAAATACCAAGTTATAAATTCTCTGGGTAAACTAGTATTAAAGACACTTAAAGGTTTGTGAAAGCGCAGATTCTCACAGAAGTCAGCTGAAAAAACAAGTAACAGCTCCTGTTACCTACCAGGAAAAATACTGCTCTGTTATAACTGTATTTACTGCATTATATATGGTAGTATGCTTATCCCTTTTGTTAGTCTAAGCACTTGCCGGGTACATTTAGTGTCCACAGTCTAATGGAACACTTTTTTAAAACTGCAACTATTTAAATCATCTTTAAAAATAACTAACATGTAGTTGATCTGAACGCTATACCATAAATACACCCCAAGGGACCACTTAAAATATAAATTGTAAAAGAGAAAGCCAAATAATGGAGGTAAAGTTTAAGGCAACAAGAATAACAAATCAAAGAACCAGAAGCTTAGCACCTCTTCTCCTCTGTTCACCTCTACTTGCATATTCATTGAAACAGTCATAACTCCTAAAAAGGTACCTAGTCGACTGTACCTTGCTTATCACACAAGCAGATTCAAGGTTCCTGTCCACGTAGAGAGTATATGAAATGCAACAGTCAGATCCAGATTCTTTTTAATCTATCTACTGCAGTGTATGCCTTCTACATTTGCCTTGTATCTTTGCTCAGATGTGGGATAACTGGGCCCAAGAGTAGCATGGTAGGTAGCACTCAGTTCTGCTCCCGTTGATGGTAGATGCTTTTCTTTGTGAAAGCCTCCACTGTCTGTAAAATACAGCTTGGGTCTCTGATGATATTTCATCCTATATGTGTCAGTCATACAACTATCTACTGAAAAGTAAGTCGTTAGAGATACACTGTCATTTGCATCTGCATAGCTAGAAGTTGGTCCTGCCTGACAAGATCCTTTCTTTAGAAAGTTTTCAGACACAGTCCAAAAGTCATTAACTGATAAGCCAGGTGGAGAATGTGGTTTATGAGCAAATAGCTCACTCCCTTGAAATGGCTCTCTCAACCTCTGTTCGTTCATAAATACATTTGCTTCCGATACAGATTTTAAAGGTGTGCCCGTTTGCCTTACAGGATTATTTTGCAAGACTTCTGTCAATTTTACATCTGCTGCTGAGTTATTTTCTGATCCTGGTGAAATATTCAGAGTATATTTCTTTGGAGGTAAAGGGGGAGGAAGATTCTGGTAAACTGCTTCGGGCACCCAATGTGCATCCACCCTTCGGAGCGGGTGCCCAGCATGCTCACCAGGAGAGGGCAGCGCTGTGGGCAGTTCCGAAGGGTTCTGGGGCACCAATGGCGACAAGCCCAGCTTTGGGCCAAAAGTTCTTGTGGGATGAGGCTGCAGCTGAGAAGAGGAGTGAAAGTCATTGTTGATCGGCCTCCTTCCACAGATGTTTTCTGTATACGAGTGGGGTACATTATCAGCACAATATGCTGACACATTCATCTTCTCAAACTTGTCTGGATTAAGCCACTCTGAAGGATTTTGTTCATTTGCCTTGTTCTTACTTTCTGTCTTAATGTGGTCTTTAAGAACTGGCTGTACAGTTGATGATGGGAAAAGTTTCCTATTAGTCTCAGGCATTTCAGCTCTAAAATACAAAAACCACATAGTTATTGAGATAAGCAGCCACAAAACTATTAAAACAACCCCACACATGGTAACACCATCTAAATATTCTGTAGCTGACTAGAGAACTACTTAATATATAGCCATTTCGCTAGAAGTTGTATCAAATCACTTGAAGTTTTCTTTCACGTGAAATTTAGGGTAACTAAAAATGAGCAATTCAAGAGATTCAGTTTCTGTAAGGAAAGATAAATGCCCTCAAAATTCAGGACTACAAATACAAATTCCATTTTGTATAAGCATACCTGGGACTCAGTCTGATATATCCATTTAAAACAGGGGTGTTCAACTTGCTTTTAAGTTCTTGATTTTTAGGAAGTACTGGGCACTTACAATTCAAATCAGAAACTATAAGAACGTAACAGCAGCTTCTAAGCAGAAGTTATTGTTTTCACCCTTTCCAACCAAACTTTTCAATAGCTACTTTGGCTAACTACTACCTGTTATACCACATAAATGCAAAACAAAAATATTAGGGCCCTATGCTCAGGTGAGATGGTTTAAAACTACATAGAGTTATTTCGTTCCACTGACTAAGCATCAAAATTAAAACTCTCACTTTTTTTTTTTTTTTTAAAACAACAGGAATATCACATATTAGAATTCAACATATTCTTTAATATATGACACAGTACATTAACAACATTATTAGTTACCTTTTTACTGGAGGACTGGGCATCTGCAAAGGTAATTCTGTTGGGAAATTAACATGAGGTCTATAGTTAACTTCTGAATCTAGCTGGTCTTTCCTCAAGTCTGGGGGTGGAAAAAAAATCCAAAATAAGAACTCGTCCTCTGAGATTTCTCATAAGTTACACAAACAAATAAAGCACCACAACATAGTACACTTAATTTTTGTCAATATCTCTCTGACACAGTTAAAATAATAATTTGGAAGAAAATCTTTCACATTGGATTAGATCTTCTATTCATTCAAAATAATTTGGAAGAAATATTCAGTTTTTCACAAGTGTAACTTGAGAGCAGGTAATTATCACAAATTTTGAAGTCCTGTAAATGTGTTTTCAAGATCTTTTTAACATTTCATCTAATTAGAAGCACACTTTTCAAAAGCAGACTTTTACAAAAGCGTGTTTATTTAAACATCCCAAAACCACAAAAGAAATAGCCTAGTTTATAAAATAAATATCAACTCTTCCAGTTTCACATGATTCAGTACTAATGAAGCAGCATAAATACTGTAAGGGCTTCTTTAGTTTTAAGAAATGGATTATACAATTTTTGAAACAGCTTGACAATGTAACACCGGAGAACTGCTACATCTCTTACAGTAGCTGTGCTGTTCTTGGACATGTTGAGCCGGCAGTGTGAGCCTGTGCCTTAGACACATGACAAGAGCACGTGGGGCAGCTTACTACAGTCGCTTTCTAGAAGCCCTTTCTATTCAAGGGCAAAACCAAAGAATCTTTCTCCAAAGACACCAAATTCTCAACTATGCAGCTTATTATTAACAGTAAATATAAAGGAAGCATAATGCAATCTATGTTGACACCACAAAGAATAAAACTCTCTTGGCAAGTGAGCAGAAGCTGTCTCTTTGTTTAGAGATAGGTATTAGAATTCTTCCTGATACAATGATTGGCCCATTATAATCAGTCACCTTCTCCGAGGCCTTTCAAAAAGAAACTGATTTTGTAAATGCACGGACTAGCTTTATATAGCTACTCCACTTATTTAACAAGAATTAGCATCACAAACGGAGGCATATGCTTGCCTGAATCCTAGTGGAATAATCTCTGGTTCAGTAAATGGTATTACCTTTGCCAATTTCCAATGGGATTACAGAGGCTGCCCCCAAACTGTCATCAACAAAAGCTACATATGGTTTGGGCCTATTCTTAAATGATGTAATTTTACCAATTTAATTTTTTTTTTTTTTGGTTTTAATTTCCAAGTTTGAATAAAGTTGTGGAAAACAAAATGCTGCGTGAACATACAAGTCAAAAAACCCCAGAAAAAATAAACTAAAACTTCGAGTGAAGCTGGAGATTTGTCTTGAGAGACAATATCTGCCCTGCCTTTAGTTGACAGTTCAAGAGAGAAAGCCTTCAATAAGGCTTTTCTTCAACTAAAACCAAAACTCATTATTCCAGCATGGTAAACTCTAGAATGAGTATGAAAACATGGTTACCCAAAGAGCCCTTGTGACACTGACAAGGGTCAAGTAGCTAACCTGAAAGGAACTCAAAACTGGCCATAGTATCAGAAATAGCTAACACTGAGGTACTCAAATAGAAAACAATTTCTGAGGTACTCAAATAGAAAACATCTGTTCTATTACAGATTTTAATGAACTGTAAATTGCTTTAATGAAAAAGGAATGTCATATTATTTCCTGTGAATATTTTCAATTCAGTATTTAATCTCAGACCCAATTTCAGGATACAGTCTTAGCAACTGAATTAGTTAAATAATTTGCTTGATTAACAGTGTCTGTTAAGGTTTTAACTTGCAGACTTCAAATACATCAATTTTTATACAAGAGCACTTCTACTGAAAAAAACAAACCAACCAAACAATAAATTGCCCATACAACTGCTCTTTAATTCCACAAAACAACTGATGTGAAAAGCGTTCCGAGCCAAACCACTCAGGAATTTAGCCTTAATCTAAGGAATCAAAGGAATCAAAGTCCTTCCAGGAGGCAGTATCCTAAATCAGGCAGGAGGAGGCAGCAAAGGTTAACGAGCCATTCCTTCTGCGGAGCTTGGCAGGCATTCAACCAAAGCTGCTCAGTGATACCAGGTGGTTTGTGCCTCCAGAATTCCAGCTAACTTAAAAATAGATGTGTTATTTTCTCTTCTGCTGACATTAGATCCATGCATGGTTAAAACCAGAGACACACACTACCGGGAATTTTGGCTCTAGGTTCTTTGCAAATGTGAATACAGGGGAACAGCACAGAGTTCAGCTGGAGACTCGACATCCTTATCAACTGATCATAAAAAGCTTACCAATAACTTACAGGTAACTTTGGTTTCTCAAATACACACCAGCCTGCTTTTAAGATTTATAAATATATATATTTTCCACATCTGAATAGCCAACAGAGATTTTCAAAAAATGAAACACCATTCTAAGCCAACAGGCAAGACAAACAATTTCTCCTCTAATGACTGCATTTAGGCATACAAAATACTACAAAGCCCAACTTCTATACATTAAAAAAAAAGAAAATCAATTTCCTTTTCACTGTGTTTTAGCTGCAGGTACCCTGCAGTTTTCATTGCCTGATTTTTTTTTTTTTTTTAAATTCCAGTAAGACGACAAGTAATACTTGATGTAACAGGTAGCGTGATAAATTTCTCTCCCTGAACACAGACATTTTTCTGTATTCAATTGAAGTGGCAGAAGAACTTACTTGGAGCAAGGCTTTGTGAATGTGGTACAAAAAAGCAGTCCTAGCCTAGAAGGTACACACATTACAACTTGTCCAAGCTGGAACATTCGGGGCAGAGGGGAGCAACCACACCTTCTGGAACAACGTTTAGAGGTCAAACAGTTCTTGTATATTAATTTGTGGATTTTTTTTTCCTCAATTGCTTTAAGCATCTGGACAAAATCAAAAGTAAAAGCTCCACTGTTTTTTCTGTGCTTGCATGTGTGTGTGAGTTTAAATAAAGCAACTGTTACCAAAGAACATAAACTTCTAGTCTCCCTTCGTTCTGATCTCTACGCTACCCTTCTTATAAAGTTTATCAGGTCTTTGTTTTAAAACCTGAACCCTAATCTTTGCATGATTTGTTTCAAATTTCAAACTTTCCACATTCACAAAGCGAATTACAAAAGCGAGAGTGCTTTAAATTTCGATCTGCATGGGCTAACTTGACTGTAGTTGGAAACCTTTTTGGGGGGGGGGGGGGGGGGGTTGCTTGTTTGTTTTTAAACCAAAACTTCTCTCCTGTCAATTACATTTCCATTGGCTTAATGCTGATTTCTAAATTCCTCTATTACATTTTCCACACAACACTATCAGTGCCTAAGAAACTAGTAACTATTTCTTCCTATAGCTATAGGACTATAAAGCAAAGGACTTGAGAATATTTGTTAATGGGTGCCAAAAAAGGATTTTTCAAATGCTTATGGATTAGCTGACTAAAGCTGAAATTATAAAGAACACCACATCAGTTATAATCTTTTATCTATCACATATTCTCCTCTTTTCCTTTGAGGAATAGCAAGATCTAATATTCCATTTCTCCCTATTCACAGGGCAAAAGAGATGCGGAGCAAAGAAACTCATTTCACAAAGCTTAACAGCACGCAGGGAATATTTTGCTTCCTTCTTCAAATCCAGAGCAGCTTTCCTCCACACTCTCTCAAGGGGAAAGCTAACATATGGCAAGGCCACAAGTTTTGTTTCTAGAATTTATTCAAATTTCTGTGCTTGTGTTTCTGTGCATTGCTAACACTAGCAGAGGTGCGTGTAGGGGGCCATGCTTTCCCCACTAATATGCAGTTTTCTTGACAAAACTTAAATCATTTCATTAAAGCAGATCATATGTCTTGTAAACACTGCCAGAATTATTTTGAGAGGTTGCAGGGTCATGGGTAGATTTGTGCTGTCCTCTGGTTTGTCAGGATTAAGCATCACTAAACCATTTCTCACTTCCTGTCCTTTACGCAATTTTCAGAGAAGTGACTTTTAGCAGATCACGCTCATCAGTCTGCTTGCTTTATCCTTTAGCTGTGCTTGTCTAGAATAACAGTAAATCTACCATCTAAAGACACTCCAGAAAGGCATTTTTTGTTCCTGTTCCATATCAAGTAAATTAACTTTGAACAACTAGTCTGTTGTTCAAAAAGATAGTCATATACATTTGCTGCACCATAAAGGTTAAAAACTGCGTTCTGTTAGAGAAAAAAGCATGCTTGCATATTATTTTAAATTATTAGTAAGCATATGGTCTCTCTGAAAAAAACAGAGTTCTCTTTTTCAGAATTATGGTTTGTTTATGTTTTTGTTTTTTTAAGAGATCCGGAAGGAAAGGCAATTCAGATTCTGTTTTATATATCCACCAGAGCTTCAGAAACATTCCAGAATTCAGTTGCAGTTGTCTCATACTATTGAACTGAATAAATACTAATGGGAAAACCTCTGGGTTTGCAATATTACGAACACTGCTTTGCAAATGCAAAACATTTGTTTCTTTCCACAGGGGAGACATTTTTAAGTTGAGGCTCTGCGTACATCCTTTTTAGAGATCACTGAACAGACAGACTTGTTATATTGCATTTTTTTAAACAGGAGGAAAATCTTGCCCTCGCACTGTTCAGGCCACGTGTTCTTTATAAGCAAAGACTTTAACCTCCAAAGTCCGTCAAGCTCAAACTTCACAAACAGCTACTCATTAATATAAATTAAGGATACCATATTTGCTTGCCTAATAGCCACATTTTCAGGCCAAAATTGTTCACACAGATTAGGGAATGGCCATACAGGACACCTGTTCTAGAACTACAGTAATCTATTGCTTGTTAATACTCGAGGAAGCAGTCATTTGATCTGCATAACCACTGTGAGATCCAATGTTACTACCTTCATAATATAACAATAAGCTTACTTTTGTGAGTCAAGGACAGAATTCCTCAGCTACTGAGCAAATACTTAATAGGAGCTTACTCAGCTTCTGTTAAAATCAGGAACTGGTGAAGCACAGTAATAATTATCATGGGTACTACTAGAACTTCAACATTGTTTCCTTAAGAAAAGGGGAGAGAAAAAGTCAGGAAAAAATATTTTTAAGTCCCTGTCAGGAGCTAACAATGATTTCTTACAACATTCCACTCTTTGGAGAGGTCTGGACATTTCTTTCTTAAGGTACCATTTTCTAAGAGTCTATACGGTATTCATCTAACAGTCCAAGTCTTGCTCATACTACTCTGAGATATGGCATAGGGTAATCAAGCTGCTAGCCTTAAATGACTATTTCTGTCCTTCTGAAAGGTGCCCTGACACACTTTTTAGACAACTGAGTCTAAATAAGTTAGTATGTGAAGGTCTTTGACCCCACATACATGTGAGCTGATCAAATTCTTCACTATTGTTTTCAGTTAAGTGACAGTATCCACTAAGCCTATTAATCATTACACTGAAAGTATTACTTTCTAAAATATGCAAAAAGCTTGAGAACTTCACATTTCATTTAGGATATATATGTTTTTGCTATGAAACTACTCAGAACTTAGTATTGAATTGGTATTGCTGAACAGATGTGATTTTATCATTGTTTTATTACAATCATTATGGTAATGTTTCAGGATAATTCTAAGCATCACTTGGAACCAACACATTTTTGAAGAAGCATCTATGATGCACAGTGAAAGTTTTAAATATATTTGAGTCCATCACATGGTAAACGCCACAGAATACTCACTACTAAGGTCAAATACGGTTTGAAAACACTTATATTTTTTCATTCTGATAGCCCTTAAAAATTTTTCCACTAGTTATTTTTTCTCTCCAAATGTTTATTTTTTTCACTGATATGCTAAATACTGTATAGTACAGAACTACAGGAGCTTAAATGTCAAGAACAAAACAGATCTTTGCATTCCAAAAAACACCAGACACCAAAAGGTTTGGGGTAGGGAGTTTGTTATCAAAATAAAAAAAAACAAAAACAAAAACAAATTAGTTCTCTTTCTACAACAACAACATCAGAATAAAGACAGAAAAAATAAGTGATATGGCCAAAAAAACCCCATGGATTTTAAGTCTTAGGAAAAAGCTATACTGTACAATATTTGAAAAGTGTAGTATGATATCTATAAAAATCAAACATTTCCTGGGGAAGTGGTCTAATATTTATTGCAACTCTTTGTACAAGCACCATTCCATTGTTTCAACAACAGTGGATAGTGATTTTGGCTGGCCTTATGCTGACCTGTAGTATTTTTATGCTAAGGCATTTGTCAAATTTATAAAAATCTAGAAGACATATTAATATGTAAAAGGAAGTAGATTTCCTTATTGCAAGTGTTTCTTCCTGATATTGCTTCGTCTCTTATAAGAAAAGAAATGGTACTGCACTCCACTGAGACACTTTTAAAACTCTTTCTTAGTATGTTCCAAGAAAACTCTCCGAAATGTTTTTGTGGTGAAGCATAGGGAATGAACACAAGGGGTATGTTCTAACGGTTTGTTTTTTGTTTTGCTTTTGAAAACAAACTCTTGCTAAAAATCATTAGAAAATGAGAAGCATGTTCTAAAAGCAGAATATATGCAACAAAACTAGAGATTTACATTTAATCATTTGTGTTGGATTAAAAAGAAAAGGCCCTGAAAGGGCAAAGAAAAGGATTTGCACTGAATGCTTTATGTCAGCATAGGGTCAGCCAAAATTGCTAATATGATGAACAATACTGTTTCCAGTTCTTACACACAGAACTAATCAGTCAGTAGCAGGTAAGTACTGGGCCACTTACTGAGGAGGTAGTGGTATATAAAATGCACAAGAAAGGACAAATTGTTATCAACTGTAAAAGCAAACACTGTGTAACAAAGCACATCAAGAAAGTTTGGTATGGGGCAGGAAGAAACACTGTACCCTGAATACCTAACAGTTAATTCATTAAAAAAAAAAAAAAAAAACGCCCTGAGATGTAGCTGTAACCTCTCAAAACTATACTTACATTTTATATACTGAAATACAATATATCCAAGTGTTAAAAAAATTGCCAAGCCTGTCACTTTTGTGTTAGAGGTAGTGTGGAACAGCTGATTAGGAGACCACTTTTAAATGGCTCAACCCAGAGCCAAGCACTGCCACTGCAGGGTGAAAGGATGTGCTACAAACAGATAAACCTCTACCCTGTATGTTCATGACCAAGAGCAGAAATAGGAGCTACTGTTGCTGCTACTGTCATGCCACAACTTTCTTTCCATGACGGCAGAGCACTAAAAAAACCCCCTCTATTTGGAAACCTATCTATCACAGCAGCTAGCTAGGAGTCCATTTACAGTGTACATTTTCCCTAAAAGAAAAGAAACCAAATAAATGAAGGTGCTTTGTGGAACAGAATGCTTTAAGTACCCCTGACAAGAACGATATGGTTATTGAACTGCTGCTCCTTTATGTTTCCATCAAAGTGCACCAAGCAGGGACATGAACACCATCTTTATGTCCATCTTCATCACAAAGGTTAAAAAAAAGATGTGAACAAGAACAAAATTTGGAATTTACTGTGGAGAGAAAAAAAATACATCAACAGGTTTTCTTTGCCATTCTAAAAAGACAGAGCACACAGGCTATGCAGTCCAGAAGTAAGACATCTCTCTACCGCAAAATGTGTATCAGAATACTAGCATCATGCCCGAAAGAGCCACCAATTCTATGCAGATTCCACTCTAATTCACCTAAATACAGAGTAATTTCAAAAAGTCAAAAACACGTGGCTATTGCTTGTAAAAAAAATAGCAGCAACAATAAGATTTTATGAAATATCATCATGACATAAATTTATGGACCGAGATTATAAAATAAAAGGCCAGTCGAAGATGTCCAACTCCTGTGTGACATTAGCATTAAAATTGTGGTACACCTAAACATTTCTTTTTCTAAGAAAACTTCTTGGTTTTTATATAGGTTAAAGTTCTTACCATAAAAGTTTCTGCTCTGCTGGGAAACAGAACGTAACACATTTTCAGCTTTCTTGGTTGACAAGTTCTGGTTGCTGTAAAATAAGCACACATGCAATCTGAAGGCTTAAACTACTGATACATGATCACAAACATTATTGCATATAGTACATACAAGCTTTAAAAATACCAATTTTGGCTTTCTATGTGAAAATTTGGCCTTCCTTTTCATCACTCTATCACATTTTTTGCTAAAACACATACTACATATGAGAAGACAGTGGGGTAATCCTTGAATATTTTTAACACAACTGCCACCTGTGGCAGGCTGCGCTGACACAGAGAAGTTCAGGATCAGCCAAATTCTTTACTGTGGGCAGGAGAAAAACAGAGCTTGAAAAGCTGATGTTCTCAGTTTGTTCTGGAGACTTAGACACCCACTCATCCCAGCCCTACCCAGTGTAACAGCAAGATGCCTAATACACAGCACATAAGATCAAGAAAATTCACGTTTTAGTATCATATCACTCTGATTAATAAAGATCAAAGTTAACAAAAGTTAACAGAAAAAAGATGCACCGCCTGTGAGAAAGGCCTGCCAACTGCACTTTTTCTCATTGTAAAAAAAAAAAAAAAAAAAAAAGGGAATAAGAATTTCAAAAAGTGCTTACCAAGCACAAGCGATCACCAAGAAAGCATGATAGTTCTTAAATAAAAAAGTGATTTTCTAAAGGTACAGACAGCATTGGGTATCCAATTCCATTTATTTGAAAACTTTCCCTTCCGTTACCCCCTTAAATGCAGTAAAAGAATACTACCCATGCAGTACACATGGTTTCCAATTTATCATCAGTACCACCCATGTCCAAAACATACGCATATTTCAGTGCTAATAGTTTACATCCTGAATATCTCAGGGTTAAACATACAACAATATCTGACTATGACAAACCTAAGTTTTCTAAAAATGTAAAAATCTCATCAGTATCAATATCTTAAGTATCTGAAACCTGTTAGCTACCATTTTAGCTTGCTGTCCATTCTCCTACTTTGACATTTAGCTACTCATTATTACTGTTTGTTGCAATACACATCATTCCTGTACGTTGTGAATGACATTGTCTTTCATTCACACCTGTTATATGAATATTCATTTAAAAGCTCTTTTTCAAACTCATGCTGAAAGATAACAGTAGCAGATGCAAGGTAAAAAAACCCACCACCACCACACAGTGGATTTAGTAAATCTTTCTGTTTTAGTTCAGCCAAAAACGTGTATAACCAATCCAGATAAGGAGCCGACAAACACCCTGCCAGTTCCTGCCTTCTCCAAGGGTAAGGCAGGGAGGAAGATACACACTGGCAATTTTACAATAAAGAATGTCTCTTATTGAGAGGACAAGAAAATAAGAAAAACATTGAAAGAATCAGGAAGAAGGGAGAAACAACCCAACAGAAAACAAAAAATAAGTCATTTTTTCCACCTTCTAAAAGCACTCTCAAGCAATTCATTTATATTCTTTTATTTCTATAAGACTAAAATCTAACTAGCTAGAAAGAAACTAGCGGGTACTGTCAATCAACTCCAACAATTAATCATGTAACATCCTTCTGAAATTGAACGGCCCAAGAAGTCGCTTGTATTTTGATAGTGTGGGGTTTTTTGGCTAGCTTAAAAATATTTAAATCGTAGTGTAAGCAGACTCTTAATGAACTAAGTTACTTACACTTACCATGTTCTCTCTCATTTAATATACAATCAGCACTCAGGCATCCCA